ACTGTTACTTGGTTCACTTTAAAGACATGTTAAAATATATTTGTCAGATACTCTGCCCATCAGTGTGTTTGCAAGAATGTCATACTACTTTCAGCTTTGGCAAAGGATGTCCCTTTAAGCAATTTGAACAAATAACAAGACCTATAATATTTAGTCTAAGTTTGTCTTTATTTGCTTGTAAGGAAAATACAAACATGGGTAGTTTTAGGCTGTTTGAAAGAAACACCGATGCTGTCAGTGTTGGGTTGGATTTATTCCCATTATGACAGTTAATAATTTTGTTTTATGACCAAAACATCACCAGGTAGTTATGGCTTGTAAACAAATACTATGTGTGTGTTACCTTTCTTGATAGGAGCTTCTTTGACCTTTTCCTTTGGAACTTCTTTGACCTTTTCCTTTGGAACTTCTGGGTCATAAAACAGCACAAAGTTAGAGTTAAATTTATAGTTTGATTAGTTACTGTTACTTGGTTCACTTTAAAGACACGTTAAAATATATTTGTTTGTGGAGGGTGTTGAAGGACATACTTTGTGTACATTGTAAACAGTGTTTATACAGTAAATTTACCCTTTGTTGAAGGAGCTCGTTTGGCTTTTTCTTTGGTAACTTCAGCATCTAAAAACAGAAAATAAAACAGTAAATAACACAAACAGTTATGTAATGTATATTACTAATCCTATGGCACATGCTAGAAAACACATGACCAGTATAAAAATAAAACATCATCAGTCATGCAGCATCTTTTAATGCAAAGAGGTGTGAATGTCAAAGGTCTTTACCTTTCTGAACAGGCGTTGGTTTGGGCTTTGGTTCAGAAATATCAGCTGATAAACACACATGTATTTCTATGTTATAATCATCAATTTGCACCTGCATCAGTCATAAAAATCTTTTTAGATCAGGCCTACCTTTCTTTGCAGGGGCTGGTTTCTCCTTTCCCTTCACTGCATCAATATCTATGGAATTACAGTAATGTGAGTCTGAACAACACCTACACGGTTGTCAATAATACCTTATTAAATTATGATCAATTATCTTATGTTTTGATATGAAAAATATTAGGTTTTGAAATAAGATGTTGGTGTAAGGATTTCCAGTGTTTCAGTTACGACCTCTTTTTTCCTCACACCCTTCTCTGAGCAAGACCGACTGCAGCAGCAGAGAATCTTTACATTACCTGGTTTTACAGGTTTAGCTTTGATTTTCTGCTTCTGTTCCTTCTTGGGTCCCTCAGGAGCTGCCACTAGTTGAAAATTATGACAGAAATGAACCTTTAGGGTTTCTAGTATGTAAAGATTGGTGTTTATTATAGGATACTTTTTTCAATATATCACTTTTTATGTTTTCTACACATCAAGTGTCAGTAAACAAACTATTTCTACATATTATATATCTAAGGTTAAGTTTAATCTTTGAATAGACTGATTACTGATGTGGTCTGATATGACTGATATTATTATTTTAGGTCATACATCATCTAAATGACTAACATCCTAATAATTAATATTATTGAACTGAGAATTGGCTGAAGACAAAAGGCAAGTTCCTACCTTTCTTTACCGGTTGTGGTTTGGCTTTCAACTTAGGAACTTCGGGAACGACTAATAATGGGAAACATTTAAAAATATAATAAATTAGATCTACATATATTAGCAAAGCTGAAGCACTGTGGTCATTTGGCAACATGAAATGAATGAATGATAAACTCTCTCTGAACTGTCAACCTTGTTACCTGTTTTTGTAATATTGGTATGTTCCTTTTTCAGAATAGGAGCTATCTGCTTTTTAGCAGCTTTGACCACCATTACAAGCTTCTTAGGCTCCTCAGCTAAAATGAAGAACAGAAAGATAATGCCACAGATTCAGTATTATGCTGGGTTAGGGTAGGGCTCACAGTGGAACTGAGCCTACATCTGAATGAATGAAATATGGTATAGCCTTAAAAGATGATGTGTCCTCTTACCTTTCACTACTGGGACTGGTTTTGCCTTGAGTGGAGCAGGTTCTGAGTAAAGAGAGTTTCAGTTTTAGGACCAGTCCTTGAAACAATAACATGAAACATGGATCACTCAGTCTTACCTTTTTTTCTTAGGACTGGTTTGGGCTTCTGTTTTAAAACCTCAGCTGCAAAATAAACATAGAAAACCAGCAAAGTCATGTATGTGCTGCACCTAACTGTGCAGCTTTGTCTCTCTCTTTTGGTGCCTTCATTTCTGAAAAGATCAACTTATTACAGCACAGAAAAGTCTGAAACCAATTAAACATGAATGCAAGCAAATTACCTCTCCTCATAGGCACTACTTTGACTCTCTCTTTCACCAGAGAGACATTTCTGCCAGGGCCTTCTTGTTCTATCAATAGAAATTTGGGAATACATATACAGTATGTAATTGCAGTTCAAGATGTAGTCAGTTTGATATTTTGATGTATATTATGACACCAGTCTTACCTTTGTGCAAGATGACTGGTTTGGCCTTTTCCTTTGGTGCAGCAGCCTCTGTAAGTCAAAAACAAAACATTACAATAGGCTGGATTTATTCCCATTATGACAGTTAATAATTTTGTTTTATGACCAAAACATCACCAGGTAGTTATGGCTTGTAAACAAATACTATGTGTGTGTTACCTTTCTTGATAGGAGCTTCTTTGACCTTTTCCTTTGGAGCTACTTTGACCTTTTCCTTTGGAACTTCTGTGTCATAAAACAGCACAAAGTTAGAGTTAAATTTATAGTTTGATTAGTTACTGTTACTTGGTTCACTTTAAAGACACGTTAAAATATATTTGTCAGATACTCTGCCCATCAGTGTGTTTGCAAGAATGTCATACTACTTTCAGCTTTGGCAAAGGATGTCCCTTTAAGCAATTTGAACAAATAACAAGACCTATAATATTTAGTCTAAGTTTGTCTTTATTTGCTTGTAAGGAAAATACAAACATGGGTAGTTTTAGGCTGTTTGAAAGAAACACCGATGCTGTCAGTGTTGGGTTGTTTAAATCTGGGGATAAGCACAACTTCACAAATTATAGACCGGTTTCTCTGTTGTCACAGTTTTCAAAAATCTTGGAAAAACTCTCTAATAACAGATTAGACACATTTATTGATAGACATAAAATCCTCTCTGATTGCCAGTATGGTTTTAGCTCGAACCGATCGACATCTCTGGCCATTACCGACCTGATGGAGGACATAACAAGTGCTATGGATGAGAGGAAATATACGATGGGGATATTTATTGACCTAAAAAAAGCATTTAACACAATCAATCATGAGTTATTAATGGATAAGTTAGAAAAATATGGGATCAGAGGATTGGTCTTGAATTGGATTAGAAGTTATTTGACACAGAGGCGTCAATTTGTGAAGTTGGGTGAATAGCAATCGAGTGAGCTGGACATCGTATGTGGAGTGCCTCAGGGTTCTGTTTTGGGACCTAAATTATTTATACTACACATTAATGATATATGCAAGGTTTCTGATTTAGTGAAAGTGGTTTTGTTTGCTGATGACACTACCATATGGGCATCGGGTGAAAACCTACAGCAACTATCTTGATGTGTTACACAGGAACTTGAGAAGATAAAGAAATGGTGTGACAGTAATATAGTATCTCTGAATTTGGATAAAACTAAATTTATGGTATTTGGGAATCGCAGATTAGACAATGAACTTCAATTGAATATTGGGGGA